TTAATTTTGAGATGAGTCCATACGATATGAATGTAAAGATAGACGATTTTATTTGTATTTAACATAAAAAACAAAAGTGTTCCCTACTTTAAATAATTTTTTAAAAAGAAAAAAAGACTATACAATTCATAAATTAAATGTTGTGTAACGAAGGAAGGAAGGCCAGCTACAACAATTTCCGAGCCACATTCTTCTTATTTTCTCGTCCAAACCATCTCGAAATCCTCATCCTTTCAATATTTCTTTAAAGTGTCTAATCCTCCAAGATAAAACTATTTTTGAAGAATCGGGCCACGCTAGGGCATAAATGAAATATTGAGTTTTTGTAAATCGAAAAATATAGTTTCAATTGAATTAAAGTTTTTAGTTTAATGTCTTTAAAAATGTTCACATTTTTTACTTGTCAGATATTCCCAGATATTCCTGGCGTAGTATGCAGCAAACAATTCCTAGTTTAAAGTACTTAAATCTTTTTTGATAATTATAGTGAAAACCATAGTGGTTCCATTTGGAAAATGATAATAAAGTTTGATATCATTCTCACGGCTTTAAAGATTCCAACATGATGTAATCATTGCAATACTTTAGTCTATCCATGTTTTATGCCCTAACATGGCCAGATAAAAAAATTAGTTTAATCCTCAAGAATTAGAAACTTTAAAACACATAATAATCGAAATAATCGGATTTTGAGGTGGCTTTGACGAGAAAATGAGGAGAATGTGGCTCGGACGAGAATTTGTTGTAACTAGCCTTCCTCTCCCCTTGTGCAATACAAACTGTACTTTTATTATCAGGAGTGGACCCTTTTCTAGTCTTCAGCTTAAATGTATAATGTGTATAAAAAGGCTGGAAGTCGATATGGTAAACTACATTTTACAAATTTAAAATAATTATTTTTTGGGTCTGTCCTAGTGAACGCTTTTTAGATCCCCCCCCTCCCCCTCCTTTAAACTATTTTTCAACAAAATTATTAATATTTATTTGTATTTTTTCTAGGTTAGGAGTTA